GACTAATAATGAAGCAGCGCTGAGAGAGAATGGGGAAGGCACTGTTAGTTTTTTGCTCTCAGTCAGGATCCCAAAATGTCCTCTTCTGAATGACTGCTATACATCTGCATTGTGCCTTGAAGCCTTTTCTTTTACTATGGTTAGTACTCAAACCAGCACTCAAGTTAGCCTTCCTTCTATTACTTAAAAACCAAACCAACATAAATGTTTTCTTCCCAGACAACAGCCACAGAGAGATGGGTGGTGAGAGTTCTGCACATTCATGCCTGAGAGCACTGCTAACAGTGAGGCCAAAGCTCTCTCCCTTCATGCACAGAAGGCCTTGGCTTAACACACAGCCACTGTTCCCACAGAGAAGGGACAAAGCAGTCCTCTGAGACCTCAGCCAATTGGCACGGGTTACAGTAAAGGACCAATACGTACTGACATGTGTGTCTTCCACAATTCGGGATAAATAAGCAAACTGGTGTGGGTAGTCAGTCACACTCACTTCTTTGAAAGGACTGCTGCTACTGGGCACTGCCGAGTGCGGGCTCCTTCCCAGTATCAGAGAGGAAAAAATCCAGTTACATCGACAGCTCATCTTTCCACAATGACAAAGGCTGAACTACTACTTCTCAAAACTTCAGAGAAGCTACTCTCCTTCAGTTAGGGGTTATCTAGTTTAGTTAGGGTCTGTTTTTCATCACCTATGTGCCTCATGAAATCATCTTAAAACTAAAGCTAGTCTGTGTGAAATAGACACTAACTTACATTAACATGTTATGTTCCGATCAGACTAATTGCTGCATGTATAAATAATGTCTTTCAAATAATATGGTCCAGCAGTTTTTTCAACCCTATTTGTTTTGTCTTGCTCCTGTTTTCTAAAGGACTCATTCTTGCCCTTGTCAAACACAGGACTTTTCATAAATCCCTTCAACAAAGCCTCCAGGGCAGAGTTTGCTATGTCTCATCCTAAAGAGGGAGGGAGGGAGGCTGGAAGAGACAGGTGTTGGAGGGACAGCAACTGAGTTTGAGCACAATGAGAAGGTTACTTAGCCCTCTGAGTAAACTGCCCAAGAGAGCAGCCCAAGAGACTGGCACTATGGGAAGAGAGCTAGGCAGGATGAAGAGAAAGGAGACGAGCACGAAGCACCGGATTCCTTTAAACCAGTTACTGGTAGAACATTCCTACTTTAACACTGAATTCTTACCAAAGTTGAAAAGACTTAAAATCAGCAAAATACTCAGGGAAAAATGTATACATAGGCCTGTCCTTATGTGCTGTAGTCTTAAATGAATATTTTTCAAGAAAGGGACGTTACTACCACCTCACTGACAGAAGATTTGGGTGATACCAGTCACACAGGCATACCTGTACATCTGCCAGGGGACACACACAGGTCTACAGGGACGTGAGCCTTCTGATGAGGCAGAGGAAAGAAGCAGCAAAGCATAAAATGTGACTCGTGCTGTAGGTAATTCTGTCCTAAATTATAAAATTCCTTCCTTGGGACTCTGTATTTATTCAGCCACATGTCCTGTTTAGTGCCCACTCTGGCAATTTACTACCAGTGGTGGCACGTTTTGTTGCTGTGAGTACAAAAGCCTTGTTTGTGAACTCTAAATATCCCTTCTTCCACTTGCGACCAGATTCATAAACCAACAAAAGGACTGCACTCATGCCCTAGTCATAAACAGAACTAAAGACCAAATTAAAGCGGAGCGGACACGATTAGAAGTGGAATTTCGCTCCGTGCTAAAATCCCTAGCAGGATGCTATGAAAGGCCGGGGTGCCCTGCCTGCTGACACCTTACAGCCTCTCAGGCTCCCTGAGGCCCTCCTGCCTCTCTCAGCATAGACTCTCCCAGAATCCCCTCCTCATGCTGCCAAGTACACACAGAGACCACCAGTCTACAGCGGCCATCAAGCTGAATGTTCAACTGGCAGCTAGTGCACCTGCTTAAGCCTAGCAGCTATGGGAACCAAAGCTATTTAAGCTTGAGGCTGTAGGTATCATCGTTTTATTAAGCTCAAAATTCAACCAATAAAAGGGGGAAAAAATAGTATTAGTGAACTAAGGGCACATTCTGCTAAGCAATTACACTGAAAATAAATTCCTACCTATAAGGAAGTGTCTACTGTCTAGTGAAGTCAACTGTGAAATGAGTAAACATTTGCATACCATCCATTCTGTAAAGTGTTCATTTCTCCTTCTATTAAGTGACTTCCAGGAAGCAGGCCCACAGGATTGAATGCTAACGTTTGCGTGGTAAAGGTAAAACTGGGAAGTGACCTGCAAAGTGCCCCTCAGTCGAAAAATGAGACCTATGTGGAGAACAGACGCCATTTCTGTTAACTGGGGTCATTCCGTTAGAGTTCATTACGGTTAAAGTGGCTCAACATATTCTATTTATATTTCTCAGCTAGCCTTTAAAAAAAAAAATTTAATGTTAAATTAATGTAATTTCAACACCTTCTTTTTAATTAAAAAATCTTTTAAATACTAAATAGGAGTATAGAACTGTCTCTCTTTCCAGATATTTCGGAAACGCTTATCTACTATAAGGGAACACCTTCTAGGTGGCTAAAATTTCAAACAGACAAAAGCTCACAACTGTGAGCTGCCAAAGCTTCAATGGAGAACTCGGGCATTGTGGGAGCAGGCCTGGAGGGACTGACTTCTACTCTACAGAGCTACGCTGGGCAAGAAGGTAGTCACGGGGTACCTGGGAAATGTACCAAAGTGAAACAATACTCCAAACAGCGTGTTCAAATGAGACAGACTGCTGTACCACACAACACAACATGGACATGGGACAGTGCCGTCACTGAAGAATGTTCTAGTAGTCCAGTTCATAGAGAAGCCATGCCCCTTGAAAACGTTTCTCTTCAAGTTATAAATAGCAGCGAAAGTTTGGTAAATCAGAAATACCCCTGACTCTCCTATCACAAGCAGCAGCAGACGACTAACGTGTCTTAAACGTATTGCTTAAATGCAAAGCACATGAAACCAATGAACAAAAACGGAACATTCTATTACAGCATGCAGGAAGTCCTCAAAGATAAAAAGGACTAAGAAGACAGTGATGAAAAGTGCCAAAGGGACAAAAAAGGCATGTTCCACCAATACTGTGCTCTGAAACTGCGACTTGTTCAAACAAACCCAAGAAGAATTGCACGAGACACACACATCTTTTCTGCTTGTGTATCACGAACGAGGGGTCCCGCTCTGTGGTCCTGGCTGTGTGTCAGCTCAATGTGTCTGATGATGAAGCGACTTTCTCGGGGAGATACTCTCAGCTATGGAATAGCTACGGGCCTCCAGACTGCTCAACTGTGTCCACAGTTTCATATCTTAATCACTCACACAGTTTGACACAGCCATGGGAAAATAAAGATCATTGAAAGGCTCATTCTGACAGTTTTTTGGATGAATTAATATCTAGATGAGTATTTCTAAGCATAGATTCAAAAATTGAGCTGAAATATACAATTAAAAAAAAATTAAGTCAGAAAATCATTCCGTTCTATTTCATGAAGGGAGTTCCACCATGGTGCTGCAAGTTAATGTGCTGGACTGCAAGGCTGGTTTGAACCACAAGGTCAGTGGTTCAAGCTCACCAACTGCTCCTCAGAAACCCTATACAGAGTTGCTATTAGTTAGAACTGATGGCAACAACAACAACAAAAAGGGGCCCTTCTAAAGATGATTAAAGCATATCAAATTTTCACCACAGAAATACAGACCAAACATTTCTAAGTTGTGGTCAATGAAAGGGTAAAATCTTGTCATAAATAGTTTAAAACTGGATTATCCAGGGTATCCTATAGATGACTTGGTTAGACAAGCCAAATAACACTTTAATTAATTGCAAACTAGATTTGCAGATTTAATATAAAAAATTTAAAATACTATTAATCTAACAAATTCAAAGTGTAATCTCAAAGAGCAGTTAATAATTCAGCTTCACTGAAATCATACTTTCCTCATAGCACTGTTGTTGTTGTTAAGTGCCGTCGAGTCGGTTCCGACCCATAGCGACCCTGTATAGGGTTTCCGAGGGTGTAAAGCTTTACGGGAGTAGAAAGCCTCATCTTTCTCCCGCGGAGCGGCTGGTAGTTTCGAACCGCTGACCTTAAGGTTCGCAGCCCGATTCGTAACCACTACGCTACCAGAGCTCCTTAGCACTAGATCCTCTAAAATTGTGTTGATTTACCCCCACCACATTATTTCTACAGTCTAGTCTTGAGCGAACATTTCAGTGTGCTTTAGAAAATTAAAGCAGCATCAAAAACTACTATAGATTTATAACAGAATTCTGATCAAGAGGAGGTAAATTAAGAACAAAATTTCAAATTCTCATGAACGCTACATTTTCTGGAGCCATGGAGGGAGGATGAACCCCTGAAACTTGCCCAGAGAGATCTCCTTTAAACCTTAAACCAAAAATACTCCACACAAAGTCTTCTCAAAACCAAATAATAGTTTAGCTTAACTAGTACAGCAAAACGGTCTGCTTTGGGCATTGTGCTCTTTTTAAAGAGTTTTCTACATGGGCTCAAACTGACAATAGCTACTCAAAAGGGGAAGCTTAGGGGGCATGAGTCTGGTTAATGAGGAAGAACTCAGAACAGGAGGGTGGAGAATGGATGTCAGTGACCCTAAATGGCACATGTAGAACCTGTTAGGCTAGTGTATAATGTGTTGTGCAGTCTCAATAACAACATAAAATTTAAAGAAGGATAAGCTACTAAAGATTTGACCAAGATTTATACCTGCTCTGGATAGAATACTTATAGTAATTTACTAATGCCTAGATTAAAAACAGGGATGTATTTCTAATGCAAAACAATTAAGCCAAATTGTGCAGCTCAACTCAAATAAAACAATGTATTTTGGTACTTTTAAAACCACTAGTAAAGTACTTAAAATCTCTTTGCAGACATTGTAGGGAATAGGGTTAGAGAACCTAATGAGGGCCCCTCCCGCTCCCAAAGCAGCCCAGGAACTCACCATTTGGAGAATCGCTCCATAGAGCCGAAGCAGCACGGTCCGCGGCTCGTCAGCGACAGTGGCCATCGTTTCGGGCAAGGAGCACTGGAACAGCATGTTACTGAGGCCGCCTCTGCCAGAAACAAGGAGTCCATTAGTGCTTCTCAGCTCCATCACTCTTCTCGGTAAACTCAGGATCCCACAGCCAGTCCTGACTTATTTTCTCTGAAGATGTGGAACATCACACAATCAAAGTTTGCAAATAAATTCTGTAAGTCACACAAAAAACAGGCAAACTTCCCCATCTGCTTGCCTAGGCTGTGGGAGAGTTAGCACAGTTGCACACATACACTCATGGGTCGTTGGAAACTGAGGATGACCCCCAGGGAGAAACCTGTGTCTTGGGGTGATATGCATACCTTCTCCCCCAGCACCTTCCATTTCAGATGTAGTTCCTAATCAAATCTAACAGCCTGTTCAAAACACTTGTAACATGAAATGCTTACTGAGGCTGCCACATGGAAAATCCTTAGACCCTAACCCCTCCTAGCTCCAGCTACCAAGGACAAGGAATGATCTGACCTATATCGCAAAATATAAAGACAAAAAATACAAAATCCACAGGACGGTGTTTGAAACTGTGCTGTTGTTGGGGGCTACTGAGTCAACTGTGGCAGAATGAGACCGCCCCGTGGGGACGTCTTGGCTGTCATCCTCAGAGAAGTAGTTCATGTCTTTTCTCCTATAGAGCAGCTGGTAGATTTCACACTGCCAACCTTTCAGTTAGGCATCCAAGTGCTTAATCATTGTGCCACCAGGGCTCCTTGTTTGAAGCTATGTTTTTGTTGTGTGCCACTAAGTCAGTTTCAACTCACAGTGACCCTGTATAGGGTTTCAGAGAGCAGTTGTTGGGTTTGAACTGGTCACCTTGAGGTTACCAATCCAGTGCTTATCCTACAGCACCACACCAGAAGCTTCAGCAAAACCTAATGGATAGACGCCCATCAAATGCACACTTGTGCCTGGCTGACACGAGTCTGTATAACCTTACACAGCGGCATCCGCACAGCCTCTGGAGTTACCAGCACACAGACTGCTGCTTTCTAGACGGACCACACCCATCACAGCAACTACAGTCTGTCCCATCCTATGAACTCTGAACACTTGTTACTGGTTAGTGCTGCTGTACTAATGGTAACCATGGCAAGGATTGTGAGGACATTAACATCATCATCTGCTGACAGCATCCTTCTTCCCTGGGGAGAGACCCCAGGTTGTACTGAGGCAGCCACATGCCAGGAACACACCCACATGTACAGCAGGTGTGCCCCTGCAGTCAAGGAAGGAAGTACTGGCGTGACTTTGGGGACATCTGCTAAACTGCCCTCTCCCCTCCATGCTGTGCTGGGAGCTAGAGGCCAAGGGTGCTGCCACTTAGGAATTCCCAGCCACCTCCAGGGTTCTCAACTGCCTTGATGTTTCTGCCCTGGCAGGGGCACAAGGGAGGTAGGAGGCTGGCTGCAGAGACGCTTCTTCCCTGCTCCACGCTGTCCCTGTCACCCAACTGCAGAGGCACTGCCCCTCAGCCCCCTCAGAGCTCCACAGGGCTCCCTCCCTCCAGGAGGCCAGCCTCTACACACAGATCCCTGCAGCTGATACCCCCCATCTCTGCACTTCTTCTTTTGATCACCTCAATGTCCCTTTTTCAGTTCTCCCACACCTGTGGAACTGGTTCCCTCTGCAGTCATGTGTCCCACTTCCTGCCCACACTTAATAATGTTGTTACTGTTGTGTTGTTAAGTGCTGTGGAGTCGGTTCCAACTCATATCAACCCTATTTAGAGTTTCTGAAGAGCGGCTGATGAGTCTGAACCATTGACCTTGCAGTACAAAACCACCTTGGGGTCCAGCACATCATCACGCAGTGCCACACCAGGACACCATGCGCACAATACACTCTGTGCAGCAAAACACCTTATGTGAGTCAGGGGAACATGCCCAAAATGGGAGCAGGAGAATTCACTGCTCTTCTACCTTGGTGATGCTTAATCACCTTTTGTTTCACTTCCAAATCCATACTTCTCCTAGGCCTCATGCTGCTGCAGTCTCTAGCACTGGCTCAGCAGTGTTTAGAAGCCATGATACCTGTCAGTCATATTTTCAAAAGAAAATTAAACAGAGACAGTGCTACAATCCTCACGAGACACCGGATCCACAAAACTGGATGCTGCTGCCTGCAAGTCAAGCACAACTGGTCTACAGTCAACTCCTTATTTGTAAGGAGGGAACGTGCACATTAAAATAAGGATAGAAAGGACAGTCTGGTCCATACAGAAGCCAGTATCATGGGCGTTTATGATGACAATGGAGACATGAAGTCCTGGTGTGGTGCTGTAAGACAAGCACTGGACCACAAGGTCAGTTTGAATTGCAAGATCAGCAGCTCAAACTCACCAGTCACTCTTGGAAACTCTATACAGGGTCCCTGGAGTCGGAACTGACTCGATGGCACTTTTACCAACCACCCTCATGGAGACACAGGTGACACAGTACGCATGCACTGCACTATCATACCCCTGTGCACAGA